ATTTTATATATACATTTTGTTTTTTTTTTGTTTGTTTTTGTTTTTGTTTTGAGACAGAGTCTTGTTCTCTCAACAGGCTGGAGTGCTGTGGCGTGATCTTGGCTCACTGCAACCTCTGCCTCCCAGGTTCAAGCGATTCTCCTGCCTCAGCCTCCTGACTACCTGGGACTACAGATACTCACCACCATGCCCAGCTAATTTTTGTATTTTTAGTAGAGACAGGGTTTCACCATGTTGGCCAGGATGGTCTCAATCTCTTGACCTCGTGATCTGCCCACCTTGGCCTCCCAGAGTGTTGAGATTACAGGTGTGAGCCACTATGCCTGGCCCTGATTCCTTTTATTGGAGAGCAGTATTTAGAAATCAAGATCTGGGTACCAAGTGTGCATGAGCCTATTGTTGAACTCTACTCAGGCCTTTGAAGGAAGCTTGATATAGGGGACAGAAGATAGCTTTGAGTGCATATTCTAGTCCTTAATGAACTTTACTTCTTTGAGCCTTTCTGTCCTAATTCTAAAATAGGAACAAATAGCCCAGGCACAGTGGCTCATGCCTGTAATCTCAGCACTTTTGGAGGCCAAGGTGGGAGGATCGTTTGAGGCCAAGAATTTGAGACCAGCCTAAGCAACATAGTGAGACCCCCATCTCTACAAAAAAATCCAGAGTAGCTAGATCTTTGTGGTTCCAGCTACTCTGTGGGATCCCCCACAGGAGGATCCCTTGAGCCTAGGAGGTCAAGGTTGCGGTGGGCCATGACCACATCACGTACTCCAGTCTTGGCAACAGAGCAAGACCCAGTCTCCAAAAAAATAAAAAATGAAGTAGGAGGGCTGGTGTGATGGCTCATGCCTGTAATGCACGGTGGCTCATGCCTATAATCCCAGCACTTCGGGAGGTCGAGGCAGACAGATCACGAGGTCAGGAGATTGAGACCATCCTGGCCAACACGGCGAAACCCCATCTCTACTAAAAGACAAAAAATTAGCCAGGCATGGTGGCACGCACCTGTAGTCCCAGCTACTTGGGAGGCTGAGGCAAGGTAATCAGTTGAACCCAGGAAGTGAAGTTGCAGTGAGCCAAGATTGTACCACTGTGCTCCAGCCTGGTGATAAAGTGAGAATTCCGTCTCAGAAAAAAAAAGCAAAAATTAGCTAGGTGTGGTGACAGGCGTCTGTACTCCCAGTGCTTGGGAGGCAATGAAAGAAAATCATTTGAACAGGAGGCAGAGGTTGCAGTGAGCTGAGATCGCACCCTGCACTCTAGCATGGGTGACAGAGTAAGACTCTGTCTAAAAAAAATAAATAAATAATAAAATAAAATAAAGAAAAAAAGAGGCCGGGCACGGTGGCTCACGAGGTCAAGAGATCGAAACCATCCTGGTCAACAAGGTGAAACTCTGTCTCTACTAAAAAAAATACAAAAATTAGCTGGGCACGGTGGTGCGCGCCTGTAGTCCCAGCTACTCAGGAGACTGAGGCAGGAGAATTGCTTGAGCCCAGGAGGCAGAGGTTGCGGTGAGACGAGATTGTGCCATTGCACTCCAGTCTGGGTAACAACATCGAAACTCTGTCTCAAAAAAAAAAAAGGAAGGAAAAAGAAAATATTACACAAACTCAAACTGAGAAACATTCTAGAAATAACCAACTCTTCAAAAGTATCTAAATGTTAAGAATAAAAAGAATAAGAAAATGTGGCCAGGCACAGTGGCTCACGTGTACATTCCCAGCACTTTGGGAGGTCAAAATGGCTGCATCACTTGAGGTCAGGAGTTTGAGACCTGTTCACCAAATGGTAAACCCATCTCTACTAGAAATAAAAGCAGCCAGGTGTGGCGGCGCACACTGGTAATCCCAGCTGCGTGGGAGGCTCAGGTGAGCGGATCACTTGAACCCAGGAGGCAGAGGTTGCAGGGAGCCAAGATAGTGCCACTAGACTCCAGCATGGACTACAGTTAAAAAAGGATTAAAATGTAACAGATCAGAGAAGACTTAAGGACATATGACAACTGGATTTGTTATCGCAGACCCAAAAAGGTCATTTATGAAAAAAAGCTTGACAAAACTGGAACAAATAGACTAATTAACAGTATTATTGCAATGTTAAATTCCTGGTTTCATTAACTGCACCATGGTTATGTAAGATGTTAACATTAGGGGAAGCCAGATGAAGGCTATTTGGGAATGCTACTATTTTCACAACTCTAAGTCTAAAATCATTTCAAAATTTAAAAAATGTTTTTTAAGTAGACAGACTTCAAGGGCTATTTAAGAGAAAGCTGCAGACACAAACAAAAAAAAAGAAAAAATAGAAAAGACAAAGCTACAAATACAATGTCTTTAGCTCTTTGAAAACAATAATAGGATTATAGCATTGGACATTATCTTACAGATACCTGATACTACCACTCGTCCAAGGAAGGATTCCTTTATGTCAGGACCTTGACATACATTCATCCTACCACTGCCTGTGTATCTCCATTAAGAGTGAATTTACTATGTGAGAATGCAGCCCACACATCCCATTACACACAATTCTAATTAACAAAATTCTTCCTCATTCTGAGCCAAATGTTCCTCCCTGTGAGATATACCTGAGGATGCCATTCTGAAGCAGAAGTTTCCAACCAGAGGACCTCAAAGATGCGGAAGAGACTCCAGTAAGTTACAGTCGATATGTCAAAAGATCCAGTTTATTTACAATGACTAAAATTACATCTGGTCAGCATGAGATAAATCACCTTGAGTTATTTACATAAATGCTTTGCTATAATGCTGTCCCAGAGCCTAATACAGTACCCAGTACATATTAGGTACTCAAGAAACATTTACTGACCCAAAGAGTAGGACAAAGGTCAGAGATTCGTATAATGACTTCTTTTCCCCTACCATCTACGCACATACAAATAAATTAAAATTTTATGCAAAAAATAATAGAACACAGCCCCAACTCTGAAAAGAAATAGCTGCATAACTACACAAAGTAGATACCTCTTCTGCATGCATATTCTCCATTCATTCAACATACACTTAGTGACCACAGTGTGCCACGCATAGTGAAAAGACCAGGAAATACAGGAAAAACACAAGACATCCTCAGAAGGGCAACGCTTACACATTAATTGGAGGGAATTTTAAAGTAGATTTATATATAAGTTACATAAATAAATTACATAATACATACAATTACATATAGCAAACATATTTTTTTTTTTTGAGACGGAGTTTCGCTCTTGTCACCCAGGCTGGAGTGCAATGGCGCGATCTTGGCTCACCGCAACCTCCACCTCCTGGGTTCAGGCAATTCTCCTGCCTCAGCCTCCCGAGTAGCTGGGATTACAGGCACGCGCCACCATGCCCAGCTAATTTTTTATATTTTTAGTAGAGACGGGGTTTCACCATGTTGACCAGGATGGTCTCGATCTCTTGACCTCGTGATCCACCCGCCTCGGCCTCCCAAAGCAAACATATTTTTAATTGCATCAAATATGAAAAAGAAAGTTAATGGCTACAGGTAAAAATCATAAATTGGTAAGAAAAATGAGTTCCCAATAGATAAATGGAGAAATGCTATAAGCATACAATTTTTACAAACTGAAAACAACTGATCAACACAGAAAAATGTAAAGCCCTGAGAGCTAAACAAAGAAATACAAGGTAACAGCTTCTACCCATTTATTTAAGCTAAAAAAAACTCAATTGAGGGAGGTAATCACGAAAAACTAGTTATATATACATTGCTGGTGGCAGCATAAATTAAAACAAACTTTTGAAGAGACAAATTGCTCACACTCTTTTAACCCAAAGTATGCCTTCCTAGGAATTTAATGGGGGGGGAGGAATTTAATAAGTAATTAAAAGTAAGAAAAAGGTAGGGTGCAATGGCTCAGGCCTGTAATCCCAGCACTTTGGAAGGCCGAGTAGGGCGATCATGAGGTCAGGAGATCGAGACCATCTTGGCTAACACAGCGAAACCTCGTCTCTATTAAAAATACAAAGTATTAGCCCGACATGGTGGCACACACCTGTAGTCCCAGCTACTCAGCAGGCTGAGGGAGGAGAATTGCTTGAACCCGGGAGGTGGAGGTTGTGGTGAGCCAAGATTATGCCATTGCACTCCAGCCTGGGCAACAGAGTGAGACTCCCATCTCAAAAAATAAAAAATAAAATTAAGAAAAAAGTATGTGCTAAGACAATAATAAGAAAATTAAGGCTTATAATGGCCAAAAAAAAGGGAAATAATTTTCATATCAAAGCCTAAGTAAATAAAATATGTGGCCACTAAATTTTTAATTACAAATCTATCGAAACAATATTAATAATGTCCATTCTAATAAGTGAAAAGGTACCAGAATATAAAATTGTGTGGCCATTTGTTACTGTACTCCAGGAATAAAATCACACATCCACACACCCACATCCACACGCTCCTCCACACACAAACACGGGCTGAAAAATACCAGCAGAGCTGAAAATACGTTTTCAGATTTGAAGTTGTAGGTAATTTTTATTTCCCTTATTACTAAAGAATTAACAAAAATCAGGAGGGAAAAAACTCATGCAAGGTCCAAGGTAAACTACATTATAATGAATTAGGTTGTCAATGGTAAACAAATAATTGTTTCTTGGATTTTATATTCATATAAAGGAAAAAGAAATAATTCTCACGCACAAATAAAAGTAGCACAAGGTGGCTACAAAAAGAAAACTGAATAAGGTTAACTCTAAGATGAATATCTGGAAAAACTCCCTAACAGTAAAAATCATCAGACTGTAGCATGGTATCCTAGGCTAAGTTCCACTGCTAGGGTATTTAGAAGCAACGCCCTAGACACCATACTTTAGGAATCAGTCCTAAGCTGACACCACAGAGACCCAGAGTGGTCTCATCAGGTTTTTTTCCATCACACAATTTGGTTGGCTAATCTATAAATACATGACATTTGCACATAAACATTCAGGTTTTCTTTTGAAAATACTAAGCAAAAGAACAACAAATCTTACCTGGGAAGTGCCAGACAGAGCCCTGCCCCACTGTCCTTGGGTAGGAGACACAGGTATCAATTGGCTGCATACTGGAACCCACTGGAAAATGCTCGTCTGATTCCTCTAGGGAAAGAAAATAATAATCTATCAGGAATCTAAATCATACTAAATCCTACATGGAAGGCATGTATAAAGGATACAATGTACCTGTGACATTGTAATATAATTAGAAATACATATTTGGTCTTCATCTTTAGTTCCTAGCACAGAGCTCCTAAAACCCTTGGAATTTCCGAGTGATGGGGGTGTCTGTAACTCATAACAAGCCCCTTTCAACCATACCTGAGTTTATGCTAATGAGGTGATTCATGCAGGATGGAGGCTAGTTGCCAGAGAAACCAACCACAGGAGTAGAGGGTTAGAACTCCCTCACGGCATCCCCACCTCCAGGAGACTAGATGGATCAGAGACTGAGCCAATCACCAATACCCAATGATTTAATCAATCATGCCAACAATAAGCCTCCATAAAAATTCTAAATGACAGGGTTCAGAGAACTTCTGGTAAAGATGAAAAAATCTTTTTTCTATACTCAACACTCCACTTCTGACACTAAATATGCTTGGTGGAGGGGGTCTCCACACCAAGCAATTCTCCAATTCTCTGCAGACACCAACTGGGTGTCCTACAATTTAACTTAATTCTTACACTAACTGCCTGGAGGCAGCAGAGACCTCACAGCTCCAACAGGATTGTCCCAAACTTCATTTTTTTTTTTTTTTGAGATGGAGTTTTGCTCTTGTTGCCCAGGCTGGAATGCAATGGCGCAATCTCAGCTCACCGCAATCTCCGCATCCCGGATTCAAGTGATTCTCCTGCCTCAGCCTCCCATGTAGCTGGATTACAGGCCCGTGCCTGTCCCCGACTTCAGACTCCAATCACAAGTAGCGAGTCTCCAGGTTACTCACACTTTTGTCCAACTTGTCTATAAATTGGGGATTCCCACAACTGCCTTGTCAGATTCAGTAATTTGCTAGAATGGCACAACAACTCAGGGAGGCACTTCCTTACCTCCTCTAACCCCTATCACTTTGCAAGGGTTTCAAGGGCTCTGTGCAAGGAACCAAGGATAAAGATCAATTATATATTTCTTCTCTCATAATATCATATCTGGGTTGCAGCCAACATGCCAGGAGGGTGGCACACTCTAATTCCACAGGGACAGAAACGACTGCACTCAGGACCGTTCCAGACTTGGCCTTTAGCACCTAACTTTAGAAATCCTGCCAGAATGGGGTATCACATGAATGAAGAACTTACCAGCTTATTCTAAAGGATATACCTTGGGAACAGCCAAATGGAAGCGATGCAAAAGATGAGGTATGGGGTGAGAGCTTGCTCTCCGGGTGTGCCAACCTCCCTACACTTTGATATGTTTACCAATCCAGAAGCTCTCCAAACCCAAGGACTTCTATGGAGGCTTCATTATATAGACATGATTGGCTATCACTGGCCATTGGTGATTAGCTCAATCTCCAGCCCCTCTCCCCTTCCAAAAGTTAGGAAGAAGTGGGAGAAGCTAAAAGTTCCAACCTTCTACTCATACATATTTGTTCCTCCAGCAACCAGCCTCTACCCTCCAAAGACCATTCCAGACCTGGCCTTTAGTACCTAGGTACCTTCAGTACCTCAAAGAGTCATCTCATTAACATAAACTCACAGCAGGGCATAGAAGCTCATGCCTTCGAGTCCTATTATCTCAGCACTTCCAAGAGGCCAAAGCAGGAAGTCAAAACCAGCCTGGGCAACAAAGTAAGACCTTCAACTATACAAAAAAAAAAAACCCATAAACTCGGGTATGGTTGAAAGGGACTTACTATAAATAACAAAAGACACTCCTTTCATCCCTATCACTCTGCAAGGGTTTCAAGAGCTCTGTGCCAGGAACCAGGGATAAAGACCAAATATATATTGCTTCTCTCACAACATCTGGGTTGCAGCCACATGCCAGGAGGGTGGCACACTCTAATTCCCCAAGGAGAGGAGCGACTGCACTCAGGACCATTCCAGACCTGGCCTTTAGTATCTACGTTTAGAAATCCTGCCAGAATGGGGTATCACATGAATGAATAACTTCCAAAATGGGACCAAGAACAAGTCTCCACATGCTCATCTCTCCAAGGATAAGACGTACCACTGCCTACTACTGGTTCCACAGACTAAAGTAATTCTGGTAATAGGTGACTCAAGCAGTGGGCATGGGCTCCCTCTGGGAAGAGAAACAAAATAAGCAGACTTCTGGCACTTTACAATTAGATTATAATTCAAGTTACAGTTTGCAATGTCTTTTTTTTTTTTCTTTTTTTTTTTTTTTTTTTTTTTTTGAGCTGAGTTTTGCTTGCTCTGTTGCCTAGACATGAATGCAGTGGCACAATCTCGGCTCACTGAAACCTCCACCTCCCGACTTCAAGCAATCCTTGTGCCTCCGATTCCCAAGTGTCTGGGACTATAGGAGTGAGCCACCACATCTAGCTAATTTTTGTATTTTTAGTAAAGACAGGGTTTCACCATGTTGGCCAGGCTGGTCTCAAACTGCTGACCTCAACTATCCACCCACCTTGGCCTCCCAAGGTGCTGGGATTATAGATGTAAGCCACTCTGCCTGTCCTTTTTTTTTTTTTTTTAAAAGAGACGGGGTTTCACTACATTGCCCAGGCTGGAGTGAAGTGCCTAGTCATGGTGTTAACATTGTACACTACAGCCTCAAATGCCTGATGTCTGGGCTCAAGTGATCCTCCTGCTTCAACCTCCCAAGTAGTTGGGACTAAAGGCTTGCAATGCTGTGCCTGGCCTACAATGTGTTTTTCTTTCTTTTTTATTTTTATTTTTGAGATGGAGTTTTGCTCTTGTTGTCCAGGAACAAGTTGAAGCCCAGTGATCTCAACTGGACTTCAGGCTGAAGTCCAATGATCTCGGCTCACCGCAACCTCCTCCTCCCAGGTTCAAGTGATTCTTCTGCCTCAGTCTCCCAAATAGCTGGGACTACGAGCATGTGCTACTGTGCCCAGCTAATTTTGTATTTTTAGTAGAGATGGCGTTTCTCCATGTTGGCCAGGCTGGTCTTGAACTCCTGACCTCAGGTGATCCACCCACCTTGCCCTCCCAAAGTGCTAGGATTACAGGGGTGAGCCACCACGCCCAGACTACAATGTGTTTTCATAAACACTGACTTACCCAATCTTCACAGAATCCCTTTATAGCAAGGAATGCTGGAATCATCATTGTCCCCAAAATGAAGAGGAAACTAGGGGAGAAGTTTTACAGTGGGAAAACACATGTGGGCAACTTGATTTCCAAGACAGGAGAGATTAAATGGCTGTTCAAGCTGAAACTGAGATTCATATTTTCCCTCTAACAGAAGCTCACTTCAGAAAGGTCTCTTGGCCAAAGTGAGAGGCTAGGCTGAGAGCTCTGTCTTGCTAAATGAGAAGTCTACTTTATGAATCTGAAATACATTCCACTGTATAAATGATAGCCATATACGTAGCACTGGAAATTTTAATTTTAGGAACCAACTCTAGGGATCCGAGGGTTTTCTTCACTTGACCTGTAGACGTTATAGGACCATAATGAGGACCGGATACATAAATCACTTGAAAATCCTTTGCCAAGTATAATGTACAACACAGTTGGCCCTCCATAGCTATGGGTTCTGCATCCATGGATTCGGCCACCCACAGATTTAAAATATTCAGAAAAAAAAATGCCGGGCATGGTGGCATATACCTGCAGTCCCAGCTACTCGGGAGGCTGACACATGAGACTTGCTTGAACCCAGGAGGCAAAGGTTGCAGGTGAGCAGAGACTGTGCCACTGCACTCCAGCCTGGGCAACAGAGACTCTGTCTCAAAAAAAAAAAAAGCCATATTAAACATGTAGACTTTTTTTTCTTGTCATCATTCCCTAAATAATACAGTATAGCAACTATTTACATAGCACCTACATTGTATTAAATGGAAGTAATCTGGAGATTATTTAAAGTACATGGGAGGATACACATAGGTTATATGCACATACTATGCCACTTCCTATCAAGGACTTGAGCATCCATGGATTTTGGTACCCAAGGGAGGTCCTAGAACCAATCCCCCAGGGACACTGAGGGACACTGTACTAGGAGTTTAAATTCAGCTACTCTAATTTATCTTTTCAAGTAATTTAACCTCTATGACTTTCAGTTTCCTCGCAGCAATGATCAGTAATACCTAATGAGCACTTCATGGCAGGCACTTTTCTGGTACGTTACATATATGAACTCATTTAAACTTCACAAGCACCACTAATGACCTAGATATACAATTATCCCATTTATACAAAAAAGGAAGCTGAAGTATGGAGAGCATAAGCAACCTCCCACCGTCACATAGTTCTAACAGCAGGATTAAGACATGAACCCAGGCAACCCAACTCTAGAATCCATGCTCATTTATGGGATGAAAGGCTAAAGAGAGTATTTGCAAGGTACCCTCTAGCTCTAACACTATATGACCTAGTCTGGAACCAATTAAAACAGCATATTGTGGAAAGTGCCACATATTTACAGGCAGAAAGCACTGTTCAGAATCTACATATTAAACACCTCTGTGAGCCTTGGTTGTCTCTTTTTATCAAAAATAAAGATAAAATCCCTGTTTCTCAGGACATTCTTTAAAATTAACAAATGTACCTTGCAGTACATTCAGCACAATATTAAGCTGAATCTGAATCTCCATTTCTTTGAGTAGTAAGAAACAACTAGAGGTGGGATGGAAAAGGGCATTAGATTTTTAAACCTACAGATGCTTTCTACAGTGTCTCACAGTTCTAAAATTGTATAATTGCCACTTACAGCACCTTATATTTCAAACGAAAAGTGGAGCTAAAAATATTTTATTTGAGCTGAGGTTTGATCGGTTGAAATGGTTTTCCAAATGAGAGACAGTCACTGGTGTTTTGTTTTACCAACACTGACAGATTTGCCAGAATCATTCAATGTCAGATGTTCCTGTCCTAAAAATGTTAAGTATGGAATAGGAGGAAACTGCTTCAGATTCAGGGCCAAAGGCAGGGGGTGGGAGGGCTGG